CCGGTGTAGTAAAGTCCGCGACGAGCGTCTGAGCGTATAGCGAGGACCATTAACCGTGGCAAATGAAGACATTGTCGCGATTCGAACTTACAATAGGTTGAATCATAATAATCGCCGGTCACAATCGTTTGAAACATTACTCTTATTATCTTACATTCTAAAAAATGGAAATATTACAATTTTTATATATAAACATTGTAACTTGGTAACAAACTTTGGTAATATGTAATATATTTTTAAAAAACACGATGCTACTTACGAGTAACGAAAGGTTATAATTAATTTGACAATTTGTACATCTAATTTACTCAAGGAAGGAAGCTGAAGGACGGTGCCAGAGAGCGGTCGTTAATTAGAAACTTTCATTACGTAACTTCTGATTTACGAATTATAGAAGAAAAGGACCTCTTGGAAATACAATTTGTCGGAATTATTACTAACTTTTTTTGTGAACTGCTATACGGTTTCATGCTCGATAAAACTTTCAACGATAGAATTCAGCTTTCGCTTTTGGTGACAGCATTGCAAAAACTGCATATCGACACTATTTATTTTGTGGAAAATTGTTAAAACAATATACTTATTCGAGGCTCTACAAAAAAGAACGATCAAGTTTATTCAAAAGTTTAATTGCAAATATGTATAAAAAATTTAAATATTCCAAATTAATGATATTGATAACATCGCTATTATAACAGGAAAAATATGAGAAAAATATTAATGATAACATCTAATATAATAGCCGTACGCCACTCACATTTTTCGCTTCGTAATACCTAAAAAAAACATATGCAATAAGTGATCGCGGATTGTGAGGTCTACCAGAATCAAAGGGTCTTGCCATCGATTAAACAAATCGCCCCATTATACCTGGGGCACGTGCCTATGTTTACGATGTTCGCGATATGTTTACTTCCCCTTTTTAAGAACTGAAAGGTCTGTGTGATATAACTTTGTGCGTTTTTTACAATTAATACATTTAATTTATGTAATTTTCATCATTTTAACTAAGCAATAATAAAATATAAATACGAAATTCTCCCTCTTCTAAAATATAAAGATATTTGTATTAAATATTTCTATCAAAGAATTTCTATTTCTAAGTATTTTTAATTTTTAATTTAATCTTACATATTGTGTCTTAACCAACAATTTTCTCATATTTTATTAATGTTTATCATTTAACGAATCAATCTCATTAAAACATTTTATATCAATTTTATTCATAAAGATTTTCATCAATATTTTATGCAGACAATAAAAACTCCATGTGCATTCTTTTCAATTTCTTTTTTCAATTTTTCTCAGAAAGAGAAGCACTTGTCACAAATTGCGGTTTAGTTTAGAATATAATACCCCCGACAATTTTCTGAAAGATATTTATGCGGGGACGCTTCACAACAGTACACGTTAACAAAGGCAAGAATAACGCTTAGTAAATAGCCTCTCCTACTTGACGTAGCAAGAAGAGCGCGCATGCTCGAGCTTTTCGCGAAAGGCGGACCCGCGAAGCTTTTCATCGACCAATGTGCTTTCGTGGGTGGCACAAAACATTCTACGGCTTGCGCGCCACTTTCCTGAACGGCCATGCTATGCGCGATGAAATCCCATAATTCATCCGCAGGGCTTCAACTATCACCGATAAGCTCGCGGCGATCGAATTCGACTTTCATTATCGTTTTATTTAAACTCGTTGCAAGCGCTCGTAGTCCAAAATAAATTTTAGGTCGCGATCGATGGCAAAGTACGACGAGACTGCGAATTTCCTCGATACAACCGCGAGCTGCAATAAAGGACGGCCGAAGGATAAAAACCGCAATTTGATCAAATAGAAAGACATAAATTTTCGATGAGAGAAATATTTCTGTCAGTCTTTCAAAAAGAGTATTGCTGATAAATCGTATCATGAAATTGTTGGGTAAAGACCCGAAGTCGGTTTTCAAAACAAACATTGTGAAAACTTTACGCGTCGCCTCGGCGAGGCGTAAGTAAGTAGCAAGTAGTAAATTGGTTCTTCTGACAACACACCGTTTGTTGCAATTTGTACCCGTTATTATTATATCGAGAGTAATAAGCTACAACTTATAAACCACTCGTTACTATTTATAAACGGATCGGATGAAATTGGAGCACTGTCTCCATTGTTTCTCATTCCGGAGTTCTCTCCGAGATGTGCACGTACAAGTTAAATAGAACACAACGTACGTACTGTCTGATTAGAAACTTGACAAATGAAGTTACACGTGCTGGATTAATATTAATGTTACGATGTAAGGGATCGAAATTAATTATTTATCACAACGTATGACGGCTCATAACGAATGTGTTTCGTCATATATATGCGTTGCCTGCTCGAGAAAAAAAAAATAAAACATTTCGAAACACAACGAATGAAATCACGTTGTGTTCCACATCTTTCTAGTCAATGACGCGTTTTATCACATACGTGTATAAGTAAACGTGTAGTACACGTTAACACGTCGTCATTAAATAACTCATTTAACGTCTGCGTTAATCCGTAACAACCTCCCAGTACCTCTCATCAACCTTTTCATTAAACCCATGTTATTCTCATTCCATTTAAAAGGCAAACGTTTAACACAAAAGACGAGAGACGCGGCTTTCGGAGGACGAAAGGAGCCGCGGTTGAACAAGAGAAATGTTAGTATCGATAGAATAGACAGGTGACTCAAAAAGTGAATGCATATAGTAGCGGTACATTGCCCGTCTTGTGGTATAGGTTACCGTGAATTATCAAACCATTAATTCCAAATAAACGGAAAAGCACGTTCACCACGCGACTTTCACTATCTGTCTGCAGTAGCAGAGAGAACAGTGGAATTGTTGGTAACGGCTGGAGGATAACGTCGACGGCCCGCAGGAGAGAAAGAATGAGAGATCTATGTGGAACGATCGAATCGACCAATAACTGTTACTGAAAGGATTGACCCGACCTAACGGTTTTCTGGAATCATACCGACGTCTCGTGAAAAACATTCCGTCGCTTTCTAGGTCTCTTCGAAAGATTTTTTATTTCACTTTTCTTCTCCCCGCGATTAGTAATCTCTATATGATTAAACGCACCTATAAAACTTGAATCTGGCAGTGAGATCGGTGTTGCTGACGGTACAAGTTTCTCGAGTCCACCGACAAAGGATCAACGAGATAACGACAACGCTTTGTTCCTGGTTCGTGCCGGGACGAGGTGAATACATTCATCTCGAAGATCGGAGGGGACATTACGTTACAACCTCTGACCTACATAAGGAATGCTACGCTGCACTCGTTACAGGTGAATGCACTCGACGTCGAACAGGCCGCGAATCGCAAACTTCGAAAGAAAACGTAAATACACGCGGAAGAGCGGGATATCGTACCTACATACATTCTTTTTTTCTATTTAATTTTATATTCCGCAACTGCGATGATCGAGACGGTCGTTGCAGCCAGCGAGGCCCTCGGACGCGAGGTCTGGAAAGAGCAGGAAGAAAAAAAAAAGTCTAGACGCGATTCAGTGCGATGGATCAAACTGAGAGGCGCGTGTAACAGGTATGCGAAGACGGTTTTTCCGCGAGTGTGGAGGGGACAGAGTCGCAGTCAAGGCAAAAGTAGGATAAACGTATCCACGTAAGCGGCATGATGACTCTTCTCTTTTAACCCTCGCGCTTCAAAGTCTACCGGATTAGTACTTTCGAGTCGCAATTTCGAGTACGAAACTGAGATCGTCGATGGGGGGGGGGACGTTTCGGGTGGTTGACTCGCCGTTAATCGCGTGGTCAATTTGTTTCCTTCGGCTTCGGGACTGCCGTCCCGGTACGAGGAAAAGCGAGGATGATATATAAGATGAGGATAAGGATCTTCTGGGATATACGTAGAAACCTCAGCAGCGTTTCGCGATAAGGAAGATTTCGCGAGCGTATCGCGCGCGTTGACGCCTACAAAACCGCGGATCGAACTTTATCCTCTTTCGACGCGCATTTTTATCGTCGATCTCAAATTTCGGATATTTCCTGCCGAACGATACGAATTAGTCTCCGACCGACGAGCGTCGAACATAAAAAATATCGTTTTTAAGAATGCGGGGCAGCATTTTGTTACAGGTTTACATCAGGGATTCGATTGTGTATCTTGAAATGGGTAAAAGTGACTAGAGTGAGTACAAATTCACCAGAATATTTATAATTATATCAGTCAGCGTGTGGTCAGCACCTGATGAATCTGACGACTCTTTTGTCATTTTGATTTCTTTCAAGATTGACTCCCAGATATCGAAGAAGACAGATGAGCCGAGTCGACTAAACGAACGATGCACTTATCGTAAAATCGAGAGATTTGTCTCGTTCTCTCGCCAAATGGAATTTGGCGCAACACCATTACATATAGCGACAATAGCGATCCTAGCTCCTAGCAGCGCCGATCGAGCCTCCTCTTCCATCTCCTCCTCC